TACAGTCACGAAAGGCCAAGTCTACGGCCTTCCGGAAGGTCCCAGTAATGGCCTTTCGAAGTTGCCCACGTTTAGACTGAGGCAAGTGGGCAAGTGGCGAGGCAAGTGGGCAAGTGGTAGAAGTCTACCGTGCTGAGTCAACAGTCCCAGTCCCCAGTCAGTCCTTGTCCAGCCAATCAAGTACGGCATGGGACTGTGCACTTCGGGCATGGGAAAGGGCCAGACCAATGAGCTGCAGAAGTATAAATCAAGAGGCAGCGCCCAGCCATTCATTCATTCCTGCGTGAGCCATGCGGAAGCGCTGCCACAGGGACTTGTGCAAGGAGGTCTGCAGTGAGCCCGGAGACGAAGTGGGCAGAGAGACGAAGCTTAGCCATAGCGATAAGGTAGAGGCGGCCATAGCCGCCATAGCTGTAGTTGGAGTTCAGCGTATGTGTGTGTGTGTGAGTGTTCAGAGAACCGCGTGTGGGATATCCAGGGTGATCCGGTGTATGCGAACAGAGAGTTGTGTGGGCGCTATGTCGCCATAGCCAGTTGAAGTGAACTCGTGTCTGAGTTGCGTTCTTGGTTGTCATATCTCTGAGTTTTGAGTGGGCGCATGTTGCCAGTTTGCTGTGCTACTGTTTGCATGCATGTAAAGTGTGAATGAAAGTGAGTCTGATTGCAGTTTCGATTTCTGAAAAAAATTCGAAATGACAAGTAGGCAGAGTTGAATGAGGAACGAATCAATCAATCAATCAATCAATCAATCAATCAATCAATCAATCATCCCTAATTAACCAATCAATCAATCAATCAATCAATCGGCCGATTGGGTTTATTGATCGATCTATAATCTGGGAGTCCAGATTCACAAGCGCAGCTCCGATACCAACTGAAGCATGCCCAATCGGGCGATGTAGGAGGAGCCAAGGATCCGCAAAGTGATGAAATGGACTCGTATGGACAATGCAGCGTCAGTCAAGCATCAACAAGCAATGCACATCCAGATACATATGAAATAGCACAATGTAGCGCAGCAGAACAAGATATGATCTGACCTGTCAGATACTGAGGCAACACCCCATCATACACCACATGTGTGAGAGAGAGGAGGAACTGCATACATAGAAGAAAGGTCCCTCCTTGCACACGCACATGGGGGGAGATACCACAGACGAGAGATGGGGGGAGGCGAGACGAAGATGGAGGCTAGGAAGAAGACCAAGATCGCTATAGCGAAGTCCAAAAAATAGTCCCTGGCCGAGTGTTCAATCAATGTCTGCTGCAAAAAATGTTGAATCAGATCCTGGGCATATGCCCGTGAACCCTCTGCCTGAACTCTCTCTCTCTCTTTCTGAAAGAAAAAGAAGAAGAAGAAGAAAAACAAGAGGTGGAGGGCGAGATTAGATAGAAGAAGAAGAAGATGATGTCGTCCTCCTCACTGTCTCACCTGCAGGTAACTGCTGCCAAGTACTGATGTCGGCGGCGTACACTGTGCTGCAGGTTGCTGGAGCCAAGTCCAGCTATGGCGCCCAGGTACGTTCTCGAACGCTGCAGGTATGGCCTCCGCCCTATCTCCTGCCTACTCTGCCAGTCCTAATGCAGCGCAGCGCTATCGGTGCGGTGCTGGTCCAGCGGCGTGGCGCCCAAGAAGTGAACTATCGAACTGTGTAGTGCCCAGGCGCTGCCCAGCTATATGTAGCGCTGGGCGAGGCTGGGTCTACCTGGTGCTGGCCTAAAACGGCCCATCCTGTCTGGGCCCCTACCAAGCGTCCAGACTGTGCTGCTGATGCAGCAAGGCGCCAAAGTGTGCCCTGCCTCTTTTAGGTCCTGCCTCTGGTGTACCCAGTCCCAAGGTCGTGCCTTGGGGACTGCAAGTCCGAAACGGCATCTGAACAGACAAAGTAGGGCGGCATATTCAAATGAATAAATAAATAAATAAATGCTGCCTCAGGCTGTACCAGCGGCCTAGAAAGGTCGCAGTGGGCCTCGAGGGTGCGCGCTGGATGGCGTGCGGCCTGGGGGGCAGCAACCGTCAGGCCCTGTAAATGGGCC